AGATGTGACCCTATGATCCCTCTAATATCACCCCTTCACAAATTAAGGCAGTTTATTAATAATCTTACTTGCTTAAGAAGATGACGTTGCAGTACTGGGAAAAGCCATTATTTTTTTTTTATAATTTCTTTTTCATGCATTTATTTTTCCTATCTTTTCCACCGTTTTTTTCTGCCCGTCACTTTGGTCACTTTCCATGCTTAGAATTTTTCCGTGCTTTGCCGAAGCATAGGCCATATATCAAGGATGTGCCTCCTAATATTTAGTGTCAATATATGGTGGGGTGCGTGTGAGGACCAATAAAAGTGGTTTAAGGTCAATCAGTTTACACCGGATATTTCAAAAACCGGTCAGTTGATCTGAATGAAACGTACGGTAAAGTTTAATGACGTTACAAGGATCTGGTATGGATCTGAGGACGATTTATAGAAAAACGTCCCATACTACATAATTCGAAAACGGATTAACTGATCTGAATGAAACTTTCGAAAAAAGTTTAACCAAGTTACAAAGAAAAATTATTATGTGGTGGTGACAAATCAGTCAAGGGTGTAAATGGGAGGGTCATTTCAATTTTTGAGATCCCAGACGTAAATATCTATAAAAAAGTTTTCAATGAGTGTAAATGAAACTTTCTATAATAGTTTGTAAAGGTCCAGTAAAGAAATGACTGAATTTTTGTTTTGATCCTGCGTAGGGTGTGAATATGAGGACCATTTAAAGGAAAACGTCCCAGACCAGATATTTTAAAAACGGGTCAACTGATTCGAATGAAACTTTCTGGAAAGTTTAATCCAAGTTACAAGGAAGATGTTATTATATGTAAGGGACGATCCAGGTTAGGGTGTAATTTTGAGGGTCATTTAAATTGCTTACGTCCCAGTTATAAATAGATAGATATGACACTTTGCAGAATAGTTTTTCATGGTGAATTAAAGAAATGATCCAATTTTGGTGACGATCCGCAGTAGGGTGTGGATATGAGGACGATTTAAAGATTTTTTGTTGACAGTTTGATTATATTATTTAAACGAAATTTGCGTTTTCTAAGCGCTTAAACCAGTTACAGCTAAGTTAAACTCAAAACTATCGCGATATGCATGAACATTTTTTGCTTTCAATCATTGAATCGCTATGAACTGAAAATACACTTTCCTGTGCAAGGTCGACTCATATGGCGTGCAGTGGTTGTGAGTCACGATGTACCTCGTTATTACCATTACAGCCATAGTTCAAGTCTCACTAATAACGTCGCAGTGAACGTGGTTTTCGTTTTTTCAGTTTTTCCACTCCATTGAAATTATATTGGTTTTCCTTTTTTTGTTGTTGAAATTTTATACCTTTTCTTTTTGTTGCAATTTCAACTTCATTTCTCATTAAAGCAACGTGGAAAAGCCCTATGTTCTATTTTTTTAAACAAACATATAGTAAGTCTAGTTTTCATTGTTATTATAATATTATATTGTGAATTTGTGATTGCAAATAATTGCCCTCGATTGCTCAAGTATATAT